TAATATATTTATAGATGGGGTTGTAAGAGAAGTAAATGCGAGGGTCTTGGCAAGAGGCGTGGAGTTAAAAAGATAAAGAATCACACACAAAGTGGGAGTTGTCACAGCTGCTCTTTGCTGATGACACTGTGCTCTTGGGAGATTCTGAAGAGAAGTTGCAGAGATTGGTGGATGAATTTGGTAGGGTGTGCAAAAGAAGAAAATTAAAGGTGAATACAGGAAAGAGTAAGGTTATGAGGATAACAAAAAGATTAGGTGATGAAAGATTGAATATCAGATTGGAGGGAGAGAGTATGGAGGAGGTGAACGTATTCAGATATTTGGGAGTGGACGTGTCAGCGGATGGGTCTATGAAAGATGAGGTGAATCATAGAATTGATGAGGGAAAAAGAGTATGAGTGGGCCACTTAGAGTCTGTGGAGACCAGAGAACTTTGTCCTTGGAGGCAAGAGGGGAATGTATGAGAGTATAGTTTTACCAACGCTCTTATATGGGTGTGAAGCGTGGGGTGATGAATGTTGCAGCGAGGAGAAGGCTGGAGGCAGTGGAGATGTCATGTCTGAGGGCAATGTGTGGTGTGAATATAATGCAGAGAATTCGTAGTTTGGAAGTTAGGAGGAGGTGCGGGATTACCAAAACTGTGTCCAGAGGGCTGAGGAAGGGTTGTTGAGGTGGTTCGGACATGGTAGAGAGAATGGAGCGAAATAGAATGACTTCAAGAGTGTATCAGTCTGTAGTGGAAGGAAGGCGGGGTAGGGGTCGGCCTAGGAAGGGTTGGAGGGAGGGGTAAAGGAGGTTTGTGTGCGAGGGGCTTGGACTTCCAGCAGGCATGCGTGAGCGTGTTTTGATAGGAGTGAATGGAGACAAATGGTTTTTAATACTTGACGTGCTGTTGGAGTGTGAGCAAAGTAACATTTATGAAGGGATTCAGGGAAACCGGCAGGCCGGACTTGAGTCCTGGAGATGGGAAGTACAGTGCCTGCACTCTGAAGGAGGGGTGTTAATGTTGCAGTTTAAAACTGTAGTGTAAAGCACCCTTCTGGCAAGACAGTGATGGAGTGAATGATGGTGAAAGTTTTTCTTTTTCGGGCCACCCTGCCTTGGTGGGAATCGGCTGGTGTGATAATAATAAAAATAAAATTACAGAATGGATATAAATTCTCTGGAAAATGTACAAAGGAGGATGACAAAGATGATCCCATGTATCAGAAACCTTCCCTATGAGGATAGACTAAGGCCCTGAAACTGCACTCTCTAGAAAGACGTAGAATCAGGGGGGATATGATTGAGGTTTATAAGTGGAAGACAGGAATAAATAAAGGGGATGTAAATAGTGTGCTGAAAATATCTAGCCTAGACAGGACTCGCAGCAATGGTTTTAAGTTGGAAAAATTCAGATTCAGGAGGGATATAGGAAAGTACTGGTTTGGTAATAGAGTTGTGGATGAGTGGAACAAACTCCCAAGTACCGTTATAGAGGCCAGAACGTTGTGTAGCTTTAAAAATAGGTTGGATAAATACATGAGTAGATGTGGGTGGGTGTGAGTTAGACCTGATAGCTTGTGCTAACAGGTCGGTTGCCGTGTTCCTCCCTTAAGTCAATGTGACCTGACCTGTCTAGTTGGGTGCATTGGCTTAAGCCGGTAGGAGACTTGGACTGCCTCGCATGGGCCAGTAGGCCTTCTGCAGTGTTCCTTCGTTCTTATGTTCTTATGTTCTTATGTATCATTGTACTGTATGGTACAATGTACCATATGGTACCGTTGCATCATATGGTACCATATGGTACCATTACACCATATGGTACCATAAGGTACCATTGCACCATATGGTACCATTGTATCATATGGTACCATTGTACCAAATGGTGCCATTCTACCATGTGGTACCATTGTATCATGTGCCATTGTGCCATATTGTACCATATGGTACCATTATATGTCATTGTACCATATGGTACCATTGCACCCTATGGCACCATTGTACCATATGGTACTATATGGTACCATTGTACCAAATGGTGCCATTCTACCATGTGGTACCATTGTATATGGTACCATTGTATCATGTGCCATTGTGCCATATTGTACCATATGGTACCATTGTATCATATGATGCCATTGTACCATATGGTACCATTGCACCCTATGGTACCATTGCACCCTATGGCACCATTGTACCATATGGTACTATATGGTACCATTGTACCAAATGGTGCCATTCTACTATGTGGTACCAGTGTATCATATGGTACCATTGTATTATGTGCCATTGTACCATATTGTACCATATGGCACCATTGTACTATATGGTACCGTTGTATTCAACACAATAACCGCACTAATATTTTCATCATTTTGTTACAATAAACTTGTACAGTTATTGTGTTGAATACAATGAGTGTACACTTATACAATATACATTATACTGGTCTCACAGGCCACAAATGTTATTAGAAAAACAAAAAAAATAGAAAAGAAAAGAAAAAAGTATAAAAAACAAAATAAAAAAATGGGATTTTGCGAAAGTCACTGATGTTGCCGCCACCCGGTCATTTTGGGTCAACTTCCCACCGCTGTATCTCCGTAAGTACTGATCAGAAAAAAAACTTTTTTTTTTTGTCTTATTACCTTCACAAAAATATACTCTTTAATTCTGTAAGATTATTTTTTTTTTTTTTTTTTTTTTTTTTTTTTTTTTTTTTTTTTTTTTTTTTTTTTCAAAATTTGTAGATGAATGGTTCAGAGAACCGACATGTTGATAAATTAGACACATATGCAACGAAGAATGAGGGGAGACCTGATCGAAGTGTATAAGTGGAAGATAGGTATTAATAAAGGGGATATTAACAAGGTCTTGAGGATATCTCTCCAAGAGAGAACCCGCAGTAATGGATTTAAATTAGATAAGTTTAGATTTAGAAAGGACATAGGAAAGTATTGGTTTGGAAATAGGGTAGTTGATGAGTGGAACAGTCTACCTAGTTGGGTTATTGAGGCTAGGACTTTGGGTAGTTTCAAATTTAGGTTGGATAAGTACATGAGTGGGAGGGGTTGGATTTGAGAGGGACTTGCACATCGGAGCTTGTTTCTTGGGTGGCATTGTAAATTGGGTTGGTCAAATGTTTGTTAGTGGGATGAATTGTAAAGGACCTGCCTAGTATGGGCCAACAGGCCTGCTGCAGTGTTCCTCCTTTCTTATGTTCTTATATGCAACTCTTGGGTATCTTTATTGAGGAAACGTTTCGCCACACAGTGGCTTCATCAGTCCATACATAGGAGAAACTTGAAGAACAGGAGGAGAATGAGGTAATCAGTTCCTCAACCTTGAGTCGATGTGTTCAGTTCATCAATCTATTCAAGATTGATGGACCATACGTAGGAGAAACTTGAAGAACAGGAGGAGAATGAGGTAATCAGTCCCTCAACCTTGAGTCGATGTATTCAGTCCATCAATCTATTCAAGATTGATGGACTGAACACATCGACTCAAGGTTGAGGGACTGATTACCTCATTCTCCTCCTGTTCTTCAAGTTTCTCCTACGTATGGACTGATGAAGCCACTGTGTGGCGAAACGTTTCCTCAATAAAGATACCCAAGAGTTGCATATGTGTCTAATTTTCAAAATTTCTTGGACACTGGAGCACCACTTCAGATTTTGGCCTTGGACCCTGAAGGTGTTAAGAAAGGGGGGTACTGTAATGAACTCCTTGCTTTAAACATAGCTCCCATTCACAAAGAAGGCAATAACAAAAAAAAAAAAAGTCTCACACACCCAGAAATTGGAATCATAGGACTTTTAGTGGGATGAAGTGAGCTAGGCTAATATAAATTCTTAATGGGAAAATTATAATGTGCTGTAATTAATAATCTACAAGGTGGGAAATTGTAGAGTTTGTAAGTTGCAAGGACTTGCATGAAATAGACAGAAGTACTGTTGGATGAGGATGACTCTGACTTAAATGAGAAAGAATACTGCTGGTGATGAATTCCGAGGAAGAGAATCAGCTCTCTGGTATGGAAGAGACCTTAACCTTAACATAAGTGCAATAACTTTCCTTAAAGTAATCATAGCATGGATAGAAGCCTCAATCTGAATGCTGTACACTACCAGATTGTGAGTTTTACAAATCAAAGCTGGGAATCAGAATACAGAAGCACTGCCATACCAACACACACACAACATCAACATCTAAGGTCTTTCTAGCAGCATCCATAGAAGTTCAGTAACCCTTCATAGCACTTTCTTTGAAGATACTCAACTTCAGGAACTCAGAACTCCCAGAATGCAATGAAAGTTATATACTAGTACATACATTTTTTATTTGTTTAGAAAAAATTGTAGGATATTTTTAAAATCTTGGAATATAATGCTTTTTTCCTATACATTTTTTAAGTTCACAGCATGGATCATTTGATTACAGTAGTTTTTAGGAGCATTTAATTTTAAATCCCTATATAGTAGACTATATTGGGATTTAAATATTAATGTGACAAACTAATTGACTTGAATCAAAAGCTGAGATGCAGACTCAAAAGCTAGTAGAACTCAAGTCCTGTAAATTCAAATATTGTAGTTAATTACATTTACACATGCATGCATACTCTTTTTCAAATGTACTGCACCTGCATTTTAATTGCCTTTCCTTGCTCATATTCTGTAGCTATACCTGTTAGTACCCTGATTAGTGCTTTCATTTTTGTATAGATGAATGCAAATATAGTATCCTCAGTGTCTACTTACCCCCTCAAGGGAGGTTCCTTGATGCTAGTGAGGTCCAAGCTATTTGACTTGTCCTTCCCTTCCTTGGATTGAACTTGTGGGTTTAGTGTTTCTCTCAAAATAATAATGATAATAATAATAATAATAAAAATGATTCTTGGTATTTTTTAATAAAAATGGTATAACTTGTAAGATAAATGATTATTAAAATATCCTATTTAACTTTTATATAAAATAACTTAAAAAATATATTTATTTTTAACTTAATTTTGATAGTATCCAGCCAATTGGACAAGAAGAAGCATTATGGTTTCCACTAGGCTGGAAGACACCCTGTGTTCTGTACTGGCAGCGACGGCAGTTACCTTCCGAATCCCATTCCGTAGAACAAATTAATCCAATTACTGTGGATGTATTTGGTGAAGATAAGTCATTAGCACAACGTGGAAGGAAGAGGATCACTTTCACACCTCTTACAGCTGATGAAATGCCTGGGGAAGGTAAGATTTAACTGACTTTGATGTGTGTTTCTTTATTCAAATAGTGTGCATTTTGTATAGAAGTATGAAGGGGGGAGGGAGAGTAAAGAAGGCATATGCTTTCTTATTAATTTTTTTTTTTTTTTAACCTTAGATGTATTCACTTTGCAATCCCACATAATAGCATATGTATTGGATTGTTTCTTTTCCACTTCTTTCAGTTAATATAATTTTATATATTTTTTTTTTTTTACTATTTTTCTTGCCATATTTTTCCCATCTTTGTACTACATTTGTGGCTAGTACCACTATTTATTGAGGGAGTTTCCAATCTTACATGCATTGTTGTTTTTCAGTGAAGTCTTTGGAATAATTTTTGTGAAAACCAACCCAACGTAAATTTTTACCTAGGTCATAGATGTGTTTTCATTACCTTGCTCTTATCCTTAGTACAGTAAATAAAACCATTGGATTTATTGATAAATCTCATTCTGACAAATGTATTCTGGTAAATGTGTGTTGATCATCAACCATTAGACTAGATGTACTCCCTCATTGGAGTGTAAGCAAGGTAATATGAAGGGATTCAGGGAAAATTGATTAGTCAGACTCAAGACCTGGAGATGGGAACTACAGCACCTGAACTCTGAAGGAAGGGTGAGGACTTTGTAATTCAGTGGGGCATCTGAACTGTAATGTCAGCATGCTTCTGGTGAGATAGTGATTGAATGAATGATTGTAAATATGTTTCCTCTTATTTTTGGGTCACCCTACTTCGAAGAGAGATGGGCTGGTATGTTAAAAAGAAGGCTAAGTACCATACAGTAATTATGGTAAAAAGTAAAATGGATAATTTAGATTTTCTTGATAATCTTAATTGTTGTTGCAGGTGATTTGGTAGCCATGGATGCAGAGTTTGTGAACCTTCACCAGGAAGAAGCAGAGATTCGTAGTGATGGTACTAGAACTACTATTAAGCCATCACAAAAGTCTGTTGCAAGGATTACCTGCATAAGAGGGTATAATTTGCTCCAATATTTGGAAGAATTGTTTTTCAATATTTTTGTATTGATTTTAGGCTAAGCCCCTTAGTGGTAGTTTTTGCAGCTGTTTTTCATTATGTAAAAAATTAAAATGTTTAGGACTAAGTGTGAGTAGCCTTTTACAAGCATAATTTAAATTGTTCAGTTACATGTTTTAATCATATACTTTGATACAGGGATAATATTTTATGACCATCTAACTGATGGTGATTATATGTTTTAATTATAATGGATGAATTGTTGATAGTGTGTCGATTTACATTTAAGACTTGCTGATGAATCATATACTGTACTGTACAGAAGTTTTAAGTTAGATAAAGAAATAAATAAAAAATGGGTTTCATCTGATAAATCAACCAAATGAGCACAGTGAATCATGGTAAAGCATAGTAGAAGTAATTAACTGGTGGAGATTGTGAGTTTTGAGATAATCTTGTTTGTGCTACAGATGGTATGTGGTTAATGTGTATTTGGAGATAGGTCACATATGATGTTAATTCTTCTTCTTCTTTCAACAAACTGGCTGTATCCTGCCAAAGTAGGGTGGCCCAAAAAGAAAAACACACATTTGTAAGCATTTTAAGCAAATAAACATTTTAATTTTTTTTTTTTTTTAGTAATGTATACAGGCGAAGGGTTTACTAGCCCCTTGCCTCTTATGACACGTGTGGTGGCTTATGGAGGAAGAATTCTATTCCACTTCCCCGTGGACATAAGACGAAATAAACAAAAACTAGCAAGAAAATAGAAGAAAACCCAGAGGGGTGGGTATATATATGCTTGTACATGTGTAGTGTGTGTAAGTAGAAGTAGCAAGATGTATCTGAAATCTTGCATGTTTATGAGACAGAAAAGATATTAGCAATCCTACCATTATGTAAAACAATTACAGGCTTCTGTTTCACACACACTTGGCAAGACTGTAGTACCTCTCTGGGCAGTTGCTGTCTAGCAACCTACTACCTAGGATGATGGTTATGCATTATTAAATAAGGGGTTGCTTGCATTAAATACATCCTGTTCTTGATGAAAAAGAAGTAAAGTAAAAAGAGGCAATTGTTTCCTTTTAATACTGAGTCACCATTTTAGCGAACCTTGTAAGACGACCTTAAACAAATTGCTTCAGATTTGCTTAACCATTCCTTTGGTTCATTTAATCTGCTGTATTGTTTTGATTTTGTATAAAAAAAAATTTACTCATGTCTCGACAGTATTACATGTGTGTATCTCAAGATTTGACAGCTCAAGGCTTGAAATTAAAGTTTTCTACACCATGCTGGGTTAACAGTCCCACTTATAAAAATGGTTATAATCATAACCATAAATTTTTAAGGGGCGGGCAAGTAAGCCAGCAGAAGGCCCTCTGTCAGACGACCAAAAGCTCCAGTGGCGGGTAATCATATGACTAGATCCACGTCAGGAAATATGTTCCATTTCCTGACAGATCTTACCTAACTTAACCATTGTTATTGTTGTGGGGTCTGCCAGGCAGTTATTCATTAATTATGCAGGAAGAAAGTAGCATTGTTTTAAGACAGTATTTCACAATTCATTGGTTGTATATTTGTATTTTTGATTCCTTCATTTTCAGTGTGTGTGGTCTAATAGTATTATCCATACAGCTGTTCATCACTTATTTGGTTTCCCCAGTAACCCAGTTCTTTTTACATTTCAACTATTTAAAATTTTTTGGCATAAAATAGAACTAATGCTTTATCCATTTCCAGGAATGTTTTTGAGTTGCATTACATTTTTACATATGGCAATATAAATTTAAGACTGTTAGGTTACACATAACTAGTGCATTAATTTTGTTTAGCAAACTAATCGTATATTTGTTCGATCACAGGCAAGGTCCACTGGAAGGCACACCCTTTCTTGACGACTATATTTCTACTCAAGAACAAGTGGTGGACTACCTCACTCAGTTTTCAGGGATTAAACCTGGAGACCTTGATGCTAATTTTTCTCAAAAGCATTTAACAACCCTCAAATCAACTTACGTCAAACTTAGATACCTAGTTGATAAAGGAGTGAAATTTGTAGGACATGGATTAAAGAATGATTTTAGGTAAGTGATTAAATGTGCAACAGTAGCAGTAGTGTTTGCTTCATTCAAGGTGGTAAATATTTTTTTTGGTCATATATACAATTGTCATCATACTCTTTAAAATTTTGTTGTGCAAGTAGATGATTTGTTTAATTTTATAATCAGTTAAGCAACAGCTTTTATATTTATTTCTCAAGTGGCTATTTTATAGTAAACCATAAAAAAAATCTTGTAAATAAGAAAAATATATACTAATCTAAGCACATTTGCTTCCTTTATTCTCATTATCTTTACCATGCCATCATACTACTAATTATTGTCTGTAGCTACCAAGTTAATTTTGTAAAAATTAAGTTCTCTACTTTGTGATGTCACTAATAGAAAATGGAGCCAGTATATTTGTTTAAATTAAATATAGTGAAACACTTAGAATATTAGATTCATACAAACAAAAGTGGGTTATCTAAAGAGCCCATTTTTTTTATTTTTGAATTTATAAATTTTTACAGTTCTTGGTCAGTTCCCATTGTCCAATACACAAATAACCCGCACATAGGAGAGAGGAGCTTATGACGACGTTTCGGTCCGACTTGGATCATTTACAAAGTCACACTAATGAAAAGGAGAGCAGGATGGGTATATATAGGCAGGAGGTGGTAGTAGTGGAGGTGGAAGGAAGTAGTAGTGGGGAGGTAGTAAGAGTAGGAGGGGCCACTTAAATGCTAAGAAAGAGGAGCACTGCAAGGGAGCTAGGTGCCCACAAAGGGTAAAAGCAAGAACACCGAGGGGGGGACCTAACCTGATTCCTCTCTTTTTCTTCTTCGCCCTCTTCCCCTTTTCCTCTTTCCTTTTTCTCCTTTGGGCTGTCTTTCTTCTGCCCTGTGTTTTTGTTCTTTTTATTTATTTGTTTGTTTTCCCCCCCTCGTTGTTCTTGCTCTTACCCTCTGTGGGCACCTAGCTCCCTTGCAGTGCTCCTCTTTCTTAGTATTTGAGTGGCCCCTCCTACTCTTGCTACCTCCCCACTACTACTTCCTTCCACCTCCAGCCTATATATACCCATCCTGCTCTCTTTTTCGTTAGTGTGACTTTGTAAATGGTCCAAGTTGGACCGAAATATCATCGTAAGCTCCTCTCTTCTATGTGCGGGTTATTTGAGTATTGTTCCAGTCATGGTATTGTGCCTTTTTGTTATTTACCCATTTTCCAATCTCTCTTATAAATGTAAAGGCCAGTACTGCATCTGCAATAGTTCAACCAAATTCAGTTAAAGTGCTGCTTCTGTCTTCACTTGTACACCGTGTGTGAACTAAGAATTGTTCTAGCATCTGAATTTCCTTTCTTGCAGGGTAATTAACATGACAGTACCAATGGCACAGCTGATAGATACTGTGCACCTCTTCCACATGTCACATAATCGGATGGTCTCCCTTAAGTTTCTCGCCTGGCATTTCCTTAGTAAGTTTTCTTTGTATTACCCAAGACATTTATAATGAAGAATTGGTCATTTGTCAAACACATACATAAATTAGCACAGGATATCTGTTTACAGGGTTCTTTAGTAACAGTTAAGACGAAAAAATAATTTTTTATTAAAATGTCAAATTTATCAGTACAATAACCTAATATATTATCAATAGAGTAAAATCTTGATTGAATGTATTTTGGATTTAACAGACAAAATCTGTCTGGAAATACTGGACAGTCTGCTAAATCAAGAATTCTTATTATTATGGTCATGGAAAAGTATTATCATTTGGATGACGAGATTAAATTGTTAAATTACGGGTATAATGTTATATTTAATGCATGCTAAATATTATAGGTGTGTAACATTCTAGGTATGTTTACAAGTTCCACTCTTCCTTTTGTGAATTGTTTTAACTAAACTCAGGAACTGGGACAGATACTTCACTGTTGCCCTACATTGTACCTACACTAGTTAAGTGCAGGTGATGCCAGGTTGCCATGCACATCAGTGCCATTGTGTCCTGCATAAGTCATTGATGTGCTGTATTAGGAACCTTGTTCTACATCTGTTCACTAGATTCAGATGTGAAATGCTACACTCATGTATTATTATAATCAAAAAGAAGCGCTAAGCCACAAGGGCTATACAGCGCTGCAGGGTAGGGAAGGAAGCGAGGGGCTACACTCATGTAACAGGGTAATAAGCTTCCAGTGAAAGTGTCTGCAGCTGTTTTTTTGCATCTTGGGTGTAGTTACAGTGATTGGGTGAATGACAAAGTTTTTCTTGGGTCATGCTGCCTTAGTGGGAGATGGCAACATGTTAAAATTTTTTATTAAAATTTTTATGCGTTAGTGAAAACATCTTTCTACATTAGGCTACCATGTCCCTGTTCATTCAGCATTAAATTTCATTAAAAGTCCACATTTTTTCATCAATTAACAGCCTTTCTGGAAGTGTTAGAAATAGTTCTAATTGGCCTTAATACTTACTGATAGCGGAAACATCTTTGGGGAAAATTCCGCTTTAGGCCATGCCCTCAAAAATGAAGTACCTAATGCGAGGCGGGGAACAAAGATTTATATACAGTGGTACATTGACTTATGAGTTTTCCAAGTTACAAGCCAAATTCCTAGTTAAAAGCGAGCTTCAGATACATCGCCGTTAGTCGGCACAGAGAACGCCACAACATCCGCCCAGCATTTTGTGCAGTTATTTTGCCAAATTTCTTTTTTCTAACCATGGGTCCCAAGAAAGTAAGTGCAAATGACAGTGCTGAGAAGAGGAGGAGGATGTCCATTGAATTAAAGCTTGAAATCATAGAAAACATGAGAAAATCGCTTTTGTTTCAGCGTTTTCCTTATGAAACTAGTGATCTAGTGCAGTTAGCGTCACAAACACTCGGTTTTCTCTTATAATAAGGCCTCAGAAGGGCAAGAATGGGAAGATATGGTCAGAGCGATAATTATTTTTACCTCGAATGTGGCCGCCACCACTCCTCACATAATCACATGCATGTATTTTATTCATTCTAAAGTATATATCATGTTTCTGTTATCTATATTGTTTATTATTTCATATTAGATCAGTTGCAATAGATAAGCCGTAGAGTTGATATTAACGTTACATTGAAGTATTTTCTCCTGCCTCCCGAGAGCCAGGAATTCCGCTGGAATGGATTAATGGCATTTCATTTAATTTCAGTGAGGAAAATTGATTTGATATACAAGCAAATTGAGTTACAAGTTTAATCCGTTCCGTGACCGAGCTTGTAAGCCAAGGTACCACTATACAATTAGCTGCTTCAGCCTCTGCTTTTTAAAAACGGGTACCGGTTAAAACTATTTTGTGGACATGATTATTCTTAAAGAAATACATCCGCTAATATACCAAGTACACAACTCAGAAGGCAAACAATATCCCTCATTGATAACCTAGTCTAGCAACCTTCTATTTAAGGACTCTTGATCCAAGGAATTGGAGCTGCCTTTTCCCCTTTGATGAATGTCATGATTAACACTTAAGGTGCTGTATAGCCCTTGTGGTTTAGCGCTTCTTTTTGATTATAATAATAATAACACCTAAGTATCTTTAATGTCAAACTGTTTTGCCTGTGCAACAGGGTTCTTTATTACCTCCCATTCCCCAGGCACTGTACAACCCTAATGGGTTTAGCTCTTCCCCATGCTTATACCATAGCATTGCCATTTGCTTAGTGTGCAATCTTATCAAAACAATGATTTTGAGACACTAAATCAGTTAAAATGGTCTTAAGACTATTCATGTCCAACAAGTAGTAATTTAGCGATGTTGATTAACCTAATTAACTGTGATTTATTACAGGAATTTGATATGATTTTTTATTTCCTACAGAACTCAAGATCCAGAGTGTAACCCACGATAGCATAGAGGATGCCAGAACAGCTCTTGCTCTGTATCAGAAGTACTGTGAATTAAAAGCTAATGGTGATTTAGTCATGGAGCTCCAAACATTGTATGAAGCTGGCAAGAAGGCACAGTGGAAAGTACCTGGGGAAGAGGAAGAAGATTAAAAAAGAAAATGAGAAGTGACATCTGAAAATAAATTATAGTGATCTAAGTTATAGTGCAGTGACAAAACATTCAGATTTTGTGAACTAATGTTTGTAACCTCAGAGAATTTTCTCCCTTACAGAGTAACTTGTATACGAGGAAAACAAACCTTCATTGGGAGAAAGTATTTTGAAGGAAAGACTAAATTACCAGGGGACATTTCTGCCGAGACTTATTTTTAATTTATCGTAACTTATTTTCACTTGAATAGAGGCATGTTTGTTTACCTGAGCATATGATAAGTAGCTAATATTTAAATTATGGTTACCAACATCAATTTTAATTTGTAAACTGACAGTATTGACACTAGTATGGATATATTATCATCACACTGGCCGATTCCCACCAAGGCAGGGTGGCCCGAAAAAGAAAAACTTTCACCATCATTCACTCCATCACTGTCTTGCCAGAAGGGATGTATGTATGCCAGTATGGATGTGGATGCATAAAATAGTAATAGTATGTACCAACAGAGTGACAGCGATATGTGGGAGGCTATGGTATTTTATTTGAAGTTTCATCCACCAGGGACTTATCAATTCACACACAAAAAAAGTAAAATGTGAGACAGTAGTTGATACTTATCGCTGTGTGAATTGCTAGATGAAATGTCTTCATATAAAATAACAAACCCACATGTCATTACCATGATGGATATTGGCGACTAATACAGGTATTAAACTTTCTTCTTAAATGCTTAGTGAAAGTTAGAGGGAATGTTGGTGTATAGTAAAATGTCTGCTAGAATTATGTTCATGGGAAGGGATTAACTTATAAGGATCATACAGCACCAGGGGAATGGGAGACAGATTCAATATAAGGAACTTAGGCTGCTTTTATTAATGCTAAATTAAACTAATTTTCTTTTTAATCTTTAGGTTACAAATTTAATGCATAGATAATAGTTGATTTAGAGAAGACAATTGGAGAGAGGAACTTGTTGAGATGCATGTGAAATAGGCAGTGAAGGAGCCTGTTTCACAGGCATCAAGTTCCTCTCTGCACTTATGTCTCACCACTTGTTGGCTTAGTGCCATCTGTCTCCCCAATTCATAGTTGTTGTTTAAAAAGTACAAGATTCTAATTTGCAAAGTGATACTGTATTTCTATATTTTATAAGTCAGGCAGTGTCAAATAAAATATGTTAAAGGTTTGTTATTACCAGCTATCATTTAAACTAAATTATATTTTTGTAGTTAAAAATATATAGAATGACCCTTAAAAAAAAAATTTAACTGCTAGCTATTCTCAAACTAGTGTTTTTCTTATAGTACATCATTTTTTTTTTTACTGTGTATTGATATTAAAAACACTTTTAGAAGTTTAAATGTTTGAAATTCTAGCATTACATACACTGAAGCGGATCTAGGAAAAAATTATTTACTTTTTTAAAAACGTTTTGTAAATTATAATAAAGAATAAATTATTAGTGTTTTTTCTATCTGGAAACAGATTTTGAAACCTGCTTACTAATAATAATACAGTGGTACCTCGAGTTTCGAACAGCTCCCAATTCGAACAATTATGCAAGTGTATTTTTTGGGGTCTGAAACGGACTAATTAATTTACATTATTCCTTATGAGAACAAATTTGTTCGGTGTCGGCACTTGAACAGCCTTCTGGAATGAATTAAGTTCATAACTCTAGGTACCACTGTACATGCTAAACCCACTAGGGTCATTGAACAACAGATTTACAAGATTATCATGGGAAAGCACTTAACACGCACGTTATGCAGCACCTGAGAATACGACAGAACCAGGTTTGATTAAAGGAAAGGGTGGGTAGCTCCAATTCCTTTTATCAAAAGCATTTCACCAGTATCTAAGAACCTCCCTTTAAAGTGTAAACTGTACCTGCACCATTAGCAATTGTTTTGTATTATCAACCTATAGCATTAATAAATATAAGCACAATGTGGGGCTAAACCCTTTTCATGGAAGGAGATTACAATTTTCATTGGTGCTTTGAACCACAGTGGCTGGGCCTTCCTTTACCAGGGTGGCTCCTTCCTGTGATAACTAAGTGCTGTCTGTGCAATTCCCATACATGGAGATCCATATACTATTAATTCTGCTTTGATGATGAGCCTACCTCTGGAGCTGCAGCCCTTCGACTGTTTGTCCAATCAACATCAATCTGGTTATGTATTGCTCCTTAGAGATCTAGTGGCAATTTTTTTTTTTTTTTTTTTTTTTTTTTTTTTTTTTTTTTAAGCCCAAATTTTCAGGTGAGCTTCAGTTCAAGTTCTACCTTGTAGCTTAAAGATCTCTGTGCCTATTTGAATGGCCTTAGATGAATGCTGCAGCTTACCAGTGGTCTGAGTCAGAGCTGTATAATTTGCAATGGTAAAGCAAGCAAACATCAGTGAATATGCATCCCTTTTTGACTGTTTACAGACCCACTGATAGTTACCACCATACAATTCTTCATTAACCATGGTTCTTCCTTAGGGAAAGTTCCTCAATTCCAGTGAGGGGCTATTGAACTTCAACATTTTCAGTATTTTGAATTTTAGTCTCCATAAAAATGAAGAAATTCTTTCACCAACATTGCCTGGTCATGCACTGGGCCACGAGGGTGTTGACCCTCGGAATATCCTCCAGGCAAAACAAAAGCAAGAAAACAAGGAAAAAAACACCACAACAACAAACAAAATAACTCCTCACTAATTTTCTGCTAAATACAACCTCAATTAAAATATACTTTTCCAGTTAGATACACTATATCAGGTTTCTTTTCATTTATAACATCCATATTAGTGTACAAAAATTTCAGAAATGGATTATTCTTACTGCACTTCTTTTTTTTCCATTTCTTTTAACACTATTTTCATCTACATTGTGGTTCTTTCTTTGAAGAACCATCAGATGAGTTTGTATAGCCCTGTTACACTGTAAACAACTTTAATTTCATCACTTATACCCCTCGTTCAACCTCTTAGCAGTATTTGTGTAATCATATTTTCATGCTAACCTTCTTTGAATGATTTTACATATCCTTATAACCCTCCAATATTTCTACGTCCATAGCTTTTTTTTTTAATTTCCTCATGCTTAAGCTGTGTAAATCTTATTTTCAATGGCCTATACTTAGCTTTCCCATATTTTACAATCTTCCTATATGCCACAATATATTCATGAAAGCTGAAATCCACAATGCATGTTGTCATCTCATTTGTGTGTTGCTCTTTCAACACAGACAAAAATAATAATTGTTTTTATCTCTATCAACAGCGGCACTCAATAACTTGGGAGGAATTTGCAAACCTCTTCTTGACTTATGTTGCCTCTAGCTGTTGCCACCTGTTAGTCTTTCTCTTTAGTGAATTTTGCAAAATTATCTCCAGTCTTAGACATGTATACCTGACCTTTACTCCTTAAAACTTTTGTTTACATTTTCAGAAATATCTTGAGCTAGCTGCTCTTGCTTCTTTCTTCACCTTAGTATTTCCTGCATAACTTCTAATTTAATTTTATATTATAATACACCTATTATCTGCTTCTCAATATGATCCTTATTTTTAGTGAATTCCTGATCTATTACCTCTCTGCCCTTCATTACTTCAGTTTTCTCACCATGCATCTTCTGCACTGGCTGCGCTGTATGACCTTTGTAGGTTTAGCGCTTCTTTTTTTGATAATAAATATCTTCTGCATTTGTTATAAGGAGGCCTTTAGAACTTCTATTTCAGCTTTTAAAATTGCATCTACTTTAATCTGAATGTACTAATTTTCCTTGTCTAAGCATTAAGAGACCATGGTAGCTCTCAGTCAAGACAAATTTCATCGCTAGAACTGGGATTAAATAAACTTTTAGTGTATATGTACCTCTCAGTCAATATATCCCAGTGTATGAATACATAAGTCAGAGGGCACACTCTCAATTACTTAAAATTTTATCTTAGCAACAGAAAACAGTTTGTATACACAGATGGAGCTAACTCCACTACACAACCTGTTCTTGTTGGAGTCCCACAGGATAGTGTCCTTTGCCCACTTCTGTCTCATTTACATCAATGACCTCCCAAATGCATCTAAACTTAAACCCATTTTATTTGCAAGTGACACTATTTATGTCTTCTCTCACCCAAACCCAACTATGCTAACAGACACTGTAAATGACAAACTACTAAAAGTATCTACTTGGATGACTACCAACAAACTTACTCTCAATATAGACAAAACCTACTTTATGCTATTTGGAAACAAAGCTTCAAAAGTACAGCTAAACATATTGATGAATGGTTCACCCATTTCAAGACAGAGGGCAAATTTCTAGGTCTCCACCTTGAATGCAGTCTCAAATTCCAAACCCACATACAGCAAATATCCAAGAAGATCTGCAAAACAGTAGGCATCCTCTCAAACATACGGTATTATGTACCCCAAACGGCTCTTCTTGCTCTTTACCACTTTCTCATTTATCCATACCTCACCTATGGTATCTGTGCATGGGGCTCAACCACAGCAAATCACCTTAAATCTTTAATAGCCCAGTAAAAAGTTGCAGTGGGATTGATTACCAACTCCTGCACTAGACAGCTCACTCCACTGCTTTTAGAGACCCTTAATTAAACTTGCTTAATATACAAAACGTCCACACTTATTGTGTCTACTGCACACACAGAACATTATACTCAAATATTAACCCTCCTCTCAAACTCCTCCTTGATAACTACAACAGAACACACAGGCACAGATCACTTTTCAATATCCCTCGTGTCCATCTCTCCCTATGCAAAAATAGTATGCACATAAAGGGCCAAAAGATCTGGAATTCAGTGCCAAAACACACTAAAGGGCTCCTGCCTGCAAATCAATTTATGGCCCTACTTAGAAATCACCTCACCCAAAATTAACCTACCAGTTACTCAAAAGTTTCTCAACTATTTAACCATTACTTTCAACTTAAAATTCTTTCAACTTGTTTTAAATTGTGTTAAATTGTAATACTGTATTTTTATAAATATATCAAAACTATAAACTTTCTCTACTGAATTTATTAAAGCCATATATCGTGACCTAGTTGAGCATTCAATTTTCTTGTATTCATTATAACTCGCCTAACGACCATATGTAAAATTACTGCACTGTTATTGCTTTAATCTTAAATTAGTCTTAAGTATGCCCGAAATGCTTTGCATATAAAGGGACTTTTGGCATGTTCACCAAATTGTTACACTCCTTTGTGCAAACATGTTTCATTTTAAAATAAACTTGTTATTGTTATAAGGGAAAGAAGCCAAAATTCTACGTTTTCTGTAATGTAACTGAATTTACTCAAAGAAAATGCATCTGCTCGAGAGGACAATGCATGGGGTAACTATTTTCAGGGTCCAGCTTAACGTTTATTCAGGCTTCGTATACAATTTAAAGCTTTTAAGATAGTTGTATATACGTATTAAACTACATGTATTTCGGTCCCTGCACGATCCGTGAAAGATATCCCCATATTGCTTAACCTTAGTTATCTGTGCCTCGGTGCACGCGAAAGGAGCAGTACAGAGTGCAGCATAAATCTGTATTGCAGTTAAATATTAGCACTGAAATTTTCTTTTGTAAAAACTGACAAATAGGACACACAGTCCAATACCACCTAAAGTGACAAGTTTTAAAAATTTACAACCAAAGTGAAGAGTCATTCTGTAGTTATCGTTCGTAGATCAATATTCCATAATACACTAACACTAAAGCTGTTCAGAAGTTGCATTATAGGAATTACTGAGTTGAAACTAATAGGATGAGGAACTCTTAAATCATCAAAACCAGTATTCCAATTTCAATAAAAAAAAGGGCAATTTGAGACCTATTCAGGCCAACATCAATTCAACTTTTCTCTGATATTAACCAGCGATTAAGGTTTAGTAACTTAAGCTTTGGATACATAACAAACTTGTTACAAATGCACACGAAAAGTACTCCCTACGAAAGAAAATACTTGGCAGGAGATGCAACACTCCCCCAGTGAAAAGCAGGGGCGCCACAAGTACGCAATGAAACAAAACGTGTCAGGGGTCCAAGACTGTTCAACTGCCTCCCAGCATACATAAGGGGGATTACCAATAGACCCCTGGCTGTCTTCAAGGCGCTGGACAGGCACCTAAAGTCAGTACCTGACCAGCCGGGCTATGGTTCTTACATCGGTTTACGTGCGGCCAGCAGTAACAGCCTGGTTGATCAGACCCTGATCCACCACGAAGCCTGGTTTCAGACCGGGCCGTGGGGGCGTTGACCCCAGAAACCCACTCCAGGTACCATCGAAGACAGTGTCTTATTTCCACTGGGGTTCCTCAATCTTGTCCCCCAGGATGCGACCCACACTAGTCGACTAACATCCAGGTACCTACTTGCTAGGTAAACGGGGACAGCAGGTGTAAGGAAACGCCCAATGTTTCCACCCTTGCAGAG